TGGAATACACAACATAGGTAACAATTGGATATACAAGACACAGTGGCTTAGGCTAAAATGCAGTAACAGAGCCTGAAGTGTAGGTAGAGACAAAATTGGAACAGATGAAAGGGTTAAAAGTGGAACACACACTTAATTCCTGACACATCTCTTATAAGATTCTAACTGAATAAGGTTGTAGATGTGCTCTGTACTGTTATCAAGAGTAGAAACATTAATTTAAATCAAAATGGTACAACCCTATATATATATGACTACACAAATAAATAAATATGTAAAATTATCATAAATAAATATACAATATATCTATATATATATATATATATATATATATAAAAACAGTGCTTATTAAAGTGTCCCTGCAATAATATAGTAAAAAAAAAAGTCCTTCATGTGACGGTCAAAAAAAGAGTATTAGTGCTTAATCCAAAAAAGTGCTACTCTTCTGTGCAGAATCCTTCCCCACTATGCAATCACCAGAAAGCCTGCTGGTTATCAGCCTGTGATACAATATACCCAGAACCTCCGTCTCTCACTCTTAGAAACCATTGATGATACAACCAGGAGCCTGAGATATATCAATAGAGTAAACCTGACAATATAAAAAATGTAAAAAGCAAGCGCTATCCAGTCAGCAGCTGTACACTCAAGGTAACCAACATAGACCTTACAGTAGAATAGATAAACTAGTGCAGCGCTAAAGTAATGATTCAGATGAAAGGGAGGTAAACACAATAAATAATAAAATTAGATGTAAATAAACAATAAATAGGAGCGCACTTCAAAATTCAAATGGAGACTAGTTAGCAGCTTAGCACTGAGGCAACCAGATAAAATATATATGTGCAATGCTCACAATTGAGAAAATTGAATATGCGCAAAGATCATATAGATATGGTATCTTCCTCTGATGATGTGCGTGCGCACGTAACACATAAGGAGGAGCCTACTCACACCATGACGTCACGCCGTCGGAGCATCCTGGAGCTCCGGCGGCCATCTTTATTCGGGGATCGTCAGTCCAAATCACCTTGTAATACTTATATACAGATGCATCCTTTTTAACCCTTCAATAAATGTTTTATCAAATCTACTACACTATCGGCATTCTTCCGTTTTGACCCCTTTGGGGAGTATTAATCTTTTAGACACCCAGTACCACTCCATTGCCTCCAGAAAGGGAGTCTCCAGTTAACCCTTGTGAGCTGCACCCACCTATCCCTTAAGGGGAACTCTGGACACCCCTGGATCATCAACATCTAATGTCCCGGGACCCATCCACCTTGAGAGGGAGCCTTTTCTACAAACTGGCCCAGATGACTAGCTTGATGACACCAGGATATTATATATAACGTGCATTAATATTGTGCGTCCGGTGAGTGCGCATTCCTTCTGTTATCACAAGCACAAGCACCGATTGAAGCTTTTGGGACTATATGGTCACTATTTAGTCACTGACACGTATTATCTGCCCCATATAACTGTATACTTTCAGTCACTGATACGAGCTATATGTCATATTTATTTATTTATCTATATGATCTTTGCGCATATTCATTTTTATCAATTGTGAGCATTGCACATATATATTTTATCTAGTTGCCTCAGTGCTAAGCTGCTAACTAGTCTCCAATTGAATTTTGAAATGCGCTCATATTTATTGTTTATGTACATCTAATTTTATTATTTATTGTGTTTACCTCCCTTTCATCTGAATCATTACTTTAGCGCTGCACTAATTTTATCTATAATAGAGTAAACCCGGAAGCTTCATCTCGTTCTCTCTTTAAAACTACTGATGATGCGACCAGGAGCCTAAAAAGAAGATTCTTTACATTAAAATGAAGCAATTAAACATCTTCCACGTCGAAAGTTAGAGCACACAAATGCAGCCAGACATACCAAGATGGCTACCAATCTGGGACTCAGACACGGTGGCATGACGTCAGCACGTAGGCTTCACCCAGCGGGTTTCGTGCACATGCACATCCTCAGGGATACACCCAATGAAACATTAATTTGCTTTACAGACCATTTTGTAATTAACCAATTCAATACCGGGCAATTTTACACCTTCCTGCCCAGGCCATTTTTCAGGTTTCAGCGCTCTCACAATTTGAATGACAATTGCGCGGTCATACAACATTGTACCCAAACTAAAATTTTATAATTTTCTTCACACAACTAGAGCTTTCTTTTGGTGGTATTTAATTACCACTGGGGTTTTTATTTTTTGCTAAATTAACAAAAAAAGACCAAAAATTTTGAAAAAAAAAAGTTTTTCTTTGTTTCTGTTATAAAAGTTTGCAAATAAATAATTGTTCTTCATAAATTTAGGCCGAGATGTATTCTGCTACATGTCTTTGGTGAAAATAACCCAAATTAGGATGTATTTTTTTAGTTTGTAGGAAAGTTATAGAGTACACAAACTATGGGATAGATCTGAATATTGATCAATCCTGAAGTACTTACAGCCAATTTAATTTCTTGAGGTCCAAGAATGTCAGAACAGTACAGATATCCCCCAAATGACCCCTTCTTGCAGAGTAGACAGTCCGACAAACTTCATAAGAGGTATGGCGAGTTTTTTGAAGTTGTATTTTTTTTGTCATAATTTTTCGGAAAATGAAAAAAATTAAAAAAAATTAGTTTCATTATTTTTTTTTTACATATTGTCACCAGTGCAGTACAGCGTCATCTATATAACTGGCATGGCGGTGATCAGAGACACTGACTGGTGACAGTATGAAAAAAAAAAAAAAAAAAATATATATATATATATATATATATATATATATATTTTTAGATTTTTTTTCTTTTTTTAAGATTTTTTTTTCAGATTTCACTATGACCAAAGTAGTACAATGTTACCATACCAATTTTTACACAATTTGCCTATAGCAAAGAATTACTTTGCTATAAGCAAGCATTTACCTGAATGACATCGATTCATTCAGGGTTTTTTTTTTTTGTTTTTTTTTGTGCTTAGCTGTGATTTGGCCACAGCTAATCACATGATATGTGCATGTGATTAGCTGTGACCATTCACAGCTAGACACTAGTATACAATGGATGGCATGAATGAAGCCATCCATTGTATACAACTGTCATGTGACCTGCTGTGATTGGTCACAGCAAGGTCACATGGCACCGGCAATGGGGCCAATACTCAGATCTGTCATCAGCCATGTCCGAGGTACACGGCCGGTGACAGATCGTGCCGCTGCGCCACTCTGCAGGAGCGCAATCTGTGCATGTGCGGGAGGACGCCATATGGCGTCCACCCGGAACGCTGATGACATTTGCCATAGGGCGGGCGGCAAATGGTTAATTAATTAAAATGCTATTCAATTCATTTTTAATATTCAAAGCAAACTCAGCCATTCATTCATGTCCACCGATGATCTACTTGATATTACACATGCAACGCTCAGTTTGTATGTCCCTGTGGTAAGCGCATAATTATACTAGATTTTCTGAATATACGAATCGGGATTTGGAACGCACCAATTGCTGCGGATGTCACCTGGTGTATCTCATACCTCTTATATCAACTAGAAATGATTTATCAACTTATCACTATAGGTTCAGCTGTTCCTGACTTTTTGAATATATGAGTCTCAATAAAAGGACTGCTATATGTTGTTGGGATTTGGTTGATCTCTATATCTGTAAATCACAATATCATTCATCTTATCATTTTGTAGCACAGCATACCCTTTACATATTAATTCATTCATGTCTCCATGCTTTATTTTACTGAGAAATCATTTGGAAAAACACCCCCTGGCATTTCTGGCAGTGGCCATCTTTAGTAAGGGCAGATGATTCCTGTATCATTTACTTCCTGGAATCCATCTGCCCTTAGCGCAAGCATAGGCTGGGCTGAGAACCCTCCCTCCTCTCCTGAAGACTCTTGGGATGTATGACATCACTTGCTTAGGCATGAAAACCATAAAGTAACTGAAGAAATGTAAAAAAAGTTGAAAATAAGTAAATATGATATACATTCCTATCTATTTACTAATGCTAGCAGCATAAGGATTAAAAATAGTTAATGTTGATTGAGAGAGTGGCGTTCTGCTTTAAGCAGCTATGATCTTATAAGACTACCATAAAATTTTATGCTAAATTGTAACCTCGGAAATAGTGCACAAAACATCTCTGAGAGTGCAAAGAAATGCCCCTGAAAAATATACTATCTTGGTGATGTGATTGACTAGGTGTACAGAAATAAAGCGTATGCTAAATCTGAGTCATAGCTCAATGTCGTTGACACTTCCTCTTTTGGGGTAATAGTACAGTCCTTCCTTCAAGTGCAGTCATGAACCTGGAAGCAGAGATGAGCTCAGGTGTGTTGCTAAGGCATGCCCTGCCCCACAGTCACTCGAATGCATGCCTCTCTTGTATACATTCAGCCACATGGTGGGGAAAGCCCTGGGTACAGATGATTGGGTCAGGACAGGTAACAGTACCTAGCATAGCTCACATGGGTTCAGACTAGGATCTGAACATGCCTGAGCTCATCCCTATATGGAAGTGATAAGGTCTGTGGGCTCAATTCACGAAGAGTTATTTTCCTCTTTAACCACTTCAAGTCCAGACACTTTCACCCCCTTCTAGTCCAGGCCAATTTTCAGCTTTCAGCACTATCACACTTAACCATATGAAAGTTTTATTATTTTTTTGACACAGATAAAGCTTTCTTTTGTTGGTATTTGACCACCACTGGGTTGTTTATTTTTTGCTATATAAATGAAAAATGTTGAACAAAAATCATTTTCTGCTTAGTTTTTCTTATACAACTTTGCAAATAAATACGTTTTCTTCATATATGTAGGCCATTTGTTCATACATGTATTCTGCTACATTTTTGGGGTAAAAATAACCCAAAACAGTCTAACAGTGTATATTATTTAGTCTGTGTGAAAGCTATAGAGTCTACAAACTATGGGATATATATATATATGAAAATTGATCAGTTGAGACCCTAAAATGGTGGACGCTGGTATGACATATGGCAGTGATCAGGACATTACCACAAGGTATGACAGTGATCAGGACGCTGCTATGGTGGTGATCAGGATGCTTGCAAGGGGTGTGGCGGTGATCATGATACTTGTATGGGGTATGGTGGTGATGAAAATGCTAGTATGGGGTATGGTGGTGATCAGAATGATGGTATGGAGTATGGTGGTGATCAGAACGCTGGTATGGAGTATGGTGGTAATCAGGATGCTGGTATGGGGTATGACAGTGATCAGGACATTGGTATAGCATATGGGGTGATCAGGATGCTGGTATGGGGTATGGTGGTGATCAGGACGCTGGTATGGGGTATAGTGGTGATCAGGACGCTGGTATGGGGTATGACAGTGATCAGGACACTGATATGGGGTATGGTGGTAATCAGAACGCTGGTATGGGGTATGACAGTGATCAGGACACTGGTATGGCATATGGGGTGGTCAGGACGCTGGTATGGGGTATGGTGGTGATCAGGACGCTGGTATGGGGTATGGTGGTGATCAGGACGCTGGTATGGGATATTTTGGTGATAAGAATGCTGGTATGTGCTATGGCAGTGATCAGAACACTGGTATGGAGCATGGTGGTGATCACAATGCTGGTATGGAGCATGGTGGTGATCAGAACGCTGGTATGGAGTATGGTGGTGATCAGGACACTGGTATAGGGTATGACAGGGATCAGGACGCTGGTATGAGGTATGGTGGTAATCAGAACGTTGGTATGGGGTTTTTTGGTGATAAGAATGCTGGTATGTGGTATGGCAGTGATCATAACACTAGTATAGGCATGGTGGTGATCAAGACACTGATATGGGGTATGGCAGTGATGAGGACGCTGGTGTGGCATATGGGGTGATCAGGGTGCTGGTATGGGGCATGGTGATGATCAGGATGCTGGTATGGGGTATGGCAGTGATCAGGGCAATGGTATAGTGTATGGCAGTGATTGGGGTGCTGGTATGGCACATGGCGTAACCAGAGTGTTGGTATGGGGTATGGCAGTGATCAGGGCATTGGTTTGGTGTATGGCAGTGATCAGGGCGCTGGTATGGTGGTGATCAGGATGCTGGTATGGCGGTTGATCGGGACATTGGTATAGTGAATGGTGGTGTTTTTGTGAGCACTGGGACAGGTGACAGAGGCTGGCTGCATTATTTATTACAAATATACTAGGGCAGATAGGGGACACAGGAGCACTGATCAGTGATACTAGGGCTGGCTGGCACAGCAGTACTGCGTGTACAAGTAGCCTGACAAGCTGCTGTACACTCACAGTCTACAGAATCTCTTCTCTCTCTGCTCTCACACTGAAAGCAGAGAGGAGCGATTTTTTTAATTTCACTTTCCAGTTTTTGGACACAGCAATCACATGGTAAAACACTGTGTAATTGCACGGCCACAGCGGTAATGTGATCCCCTGTGACCAGGTGATATACCAATCACCAGGCTCCTGGGTGTGCACTCTGTGAGCCGTGCAGAGCCACTGATGCGGGCTGATGTTCAGGTACATTAGCCCACATCGGCAAAGCTTCCCTTCCACCATCTATAGACTACGGACGGACAGGAAGAGGTTAAAATCGGAGATAAAATAGCTCATCGTGTTTTTCAAAACAGTTTTTGCAATTCACAAAAATCACTACTAAAATATAGCATGAGATACAGTATTTCATCAAAATGTGAGGTATTTATCTTATTACATGATATCCAGTGGGATGGATACAGGGGAGTAGGATTAGAACTCCCATGTCCGGATCTAGGGGCTGCTGGAGTGGGCTATGTCCCCCCAGATTTCAGTTGTGCCTTCCCAGGCTGCTCTTCTCTCATCCTCGCACTCACGGCTGGGAAAAGGGGAGAGCAGCCTGCAGCAGTGAAACCTGCAAAGGAGAAATGACAGGAGAGAGCCAAGAGGTGTGGGCTCTCCTATCAATGGAGTGATCCTCCATAAAGCAGATGACACATGATAGCTCTTACATCAGCATTTCAGTGTTTGATTCATTCAATCATCAGAGGAGATAGGGGGCAGGGTAATCAAACTGTGTACAGCCCAATCCGATCCAAGAGCAATCCTGTGTCATCTGCTGTATGGGGGATCGCTCCACTGACAGGAGGGAGAGCACAACCCACACCCTCTATCTAGTTTACCGCATGTAAATTCAAGGGGAGAGGGGAGCTTGCAAGCCAGGGGAACTGTACACAATTGTCAAGGTCCTACCTTTTCCCAGAGGTTATGTTACTCCATGTGCTGGCATCCATCTTGGATTTCTGCTGAGCATGGTGGGAAGCTTTTATGCCTTCAGATCTCTGAGGTCCATCCCCCATGGGGTGTGGCTGAGTACATATAAGCCTGTGATCCGCACATGCTCTTTGCACTTGTGTCTTTGTCTTGCTACAGCTCTGTGTATATGCTCGTGACTCTTCTGGTATTCTGACTCGGCTTGTGACTAAGACCATTCTCTGTGGTTTCCTTCGATCTGACCTTCCGTTGCTGAACCCGGCCCGTGACCTGTGATTCTCTGTCTACTGTTCTGTACTGTTTTGTCCTGTTGTTGTCGACTCGGCTTGCCTGACTACGCTATTGTCATTCTCACCAGCTACACGCCATTGGCGGCGGCCATTACCGCAGCCGGGGTGTCTCGGGGGGGCCGCGACCTGGTTCCTGGCTGCGTCAAGTCCATCCCCACCATCAGGGGCCCTGGTGAAGGGCAGCCTGGGACTTAGACTCCGCGCCCTGAGGGAGTTCGGTCTGTTGGTGGTGGTTGTCGTCAGCCAGTGCCTTACCCTGCCACTAGGCCTACCTGTCCGTTCCACAGCCCTGCCCTGACATTACACCAGTGCCATGAATCCTGACGGTGCAGGTACGCCTTCGCTTCCAATGTTGGTCGCCAGACTGGATCAACAGGATCTCCTGTTGGATCAGTTCGCTCAGGCGTTGCAAACTCTGCTGGCACGCACCGCGCACCTTACTCCTGGGGTTATTAGGCCGGTTGTCACTCCGGTGGTCGCTCCCGCTGCTGTTCCGCTTGTTGTGCCTACCGCCGCGACTGCTGCGGCACCCGCGGCGCCCAGAGGTATGACTGGTTCAGCCCCTCTTCCACAGCGCTTTGGGGGTGAGCCGAGTCAGTGTCGTGGGTTCCTCAACCAGGTGGGGATTTACTTCGAATTAATACCCCACGCTTTTCCGACTAAAAGGTCAAAGGTGGGTTTCCTAATATCGCTACTCTCAGACAAGGCCTTGGCCTGGGCGAATCCCTTATGGGAGAGGAATGACCCAGTGATTCACGAGTTTTCCGGTTTTGTCGATGCCTTCCGTAGGGTATTCGACGTACCTCAGCTCGCTCCGCCTCGGCTGCCAAGCTGCTCATGTCTATGCATCAGGGTTCACGGACCGTTGCCCGAGAGTACGCCATAGAGTTTCGTACCCTGGCAGCAGAGGTGGGTTGGAACAATGAGGCTCTGGTGGCTGCGTTTTCTCAGGGTCTTTCTGATGCATTGAAGGACGAGATCGCAGCCAAGGAATTGCCTGTGGAGCTGGAAGCACTAATTTCCTTCCTGATCCTGATTGATACCAGGCTCAGGGAGAGTCCTTCACTCAAGGAACGCCTGCGGAGGCCTTTCCAATCGACTGGCACCTGCGTTTTCTGTCCCACCCATTCCTCCCTCTCCTCCCCCACGCCTCCTGGGGATAGATTGTCTGGTGGTGAGCCCATGCAGCTGGGGTTTGCTCGCCTTTCCGAGGGAGAGCGGGCCGCTCGGCGTCGGGAGGGTCGCTGCCTGTACTGTGGTCTTGGTGGGCACTTTCGGCAGTCCTGTCCGGTCCGTCCGGGAAACGCTCGCACACCTGAGATCCTGTCGGGGACAGATCTTGGGTGGAGTCTCCTCGTCCCCGGTGTTCCGCAGAGATAAGCCACTGATCACCGTTGTCCTCTCTTGGGCGGAGGGCTCAGTGACGGCCCAGGCGTTGGTAGATTCTGGGCCGGCGGGTTGTTTATGGACAGCTCGTTTGCTGCCCAGCACTCCATTCCCCTGCAGGCTCAAGTTACCCCATTGGTTCTCGAGGCAATAGATGGCAGGCCCCTGCAACCACCACAGGTTACCCACGAGACTATGCCAGTTGAAGTAGCTGTTGGGGCTGTTCACAGGGAGTTGGCCTGTTTCCAGGTGATTTCTTCTCCACACTATTCGGTGGTTTTGGGGTATCCCTGGCTCCAGATGCACAATCCAACCTTCAATTGGCAAACTGCCGAGATTCTCTCGTGGTCTCCACAGTGTGGGGCCGGGGTGCATCCGTGGGTCGGTTAAGGTGTTGGTGCCTCCTCGGACTCTGCGTTGCCCCCTGATTATGGGGAGTACCAGGACGTGTTTGATAAGGTACGCGCGCTGGTGCCTTACCTGCTCATCGTCCTTACGACTGCGCCATATCCTTGCAAACCCGGTGCCACTCTTCCACACGTGGCAGGGTGTATCCTCTCTCGGTTGCGGAGAATAAGGCCATGGAGGAGTACGTTTCGGATTGCGCTTTCCCAGGGGCACATTCGTAAGTCTACTTCCCCAGCAGGAGCGGGCTTTTTCTTTGTAAAGAAGAAGAAGGGTGGTGAATTGAGGCCTTGCATTGATTATAGGGGTCTCAATCGAATCACCACTAAGAATGCATACCCGATTCCCTTGATTACTGAGTTGTTCGACCGCCTTAAGGGGGCAACAGTCTTTACCAAACTTGACCTTAGGGCGGCGTACAACCTCGTATGGATCAAACAGGGGGATGAGTGGAAAGACCGCGTTTTAACACCAGAAAACTGGCCACTTACGAATACCTGGTGATGCCCTTCGGGTTGTGTAACGCGCCCGCCAGTTTTTCAGGAATTTCATAAATGATGTCCTTCGTGACTTGTTGCAGCAGTGCGTAGTGGTTTTACCTGGATGACATCCTGGTTTACTCTACCTCCATGGAGTCCCCATATCCAGGATGTCAAGCGGGTGCTGCAACGATTACGGGAGAACAAACTCTTTTGTAAGCTCGAGAAGTGCGAGTTCCATCGATCCCAAGTTGCCTTTTTAGGCTACATCATTTCTGCGGAGGGATTCTCCATGGACCCTCAGAAGGTTTCGGCGGTTCTGCAGTGGCCTCGTCCCAATGGTCTTCGGCCCATTCAGCGCTTTTTGGGTTTTGCCAACTACTATCGGAAGTTCATCAGGAAACTTCTCCACGCTGGCAAAGCCTCTCTCAGACCTAACCAAGAAGGGCAGTAATCCTCACGAGTGGCCATCCGAGGCCATCGTGGCTTTCGAGGCTCTGAAATTCCGCCTTCGCTTCGGCTCCGATACTGTCCTCATCCCAATCCTGGATTGCCCTTCGTCCTTGAGGTCGATGCATCCGAGACAGGAGTAGGCGCTCTCCTGTCTCAACGTCGGTCACTCGATGGACCCCTACTTCCCTGTGGGTTCTACTCCAGGAAGCTTTCCTCTGCAGAGTGCAACTACCAGATTGGAGATAGGGAGTTGTTGGCAATCATTCTCTGGCTCTCAAGGAATGGAGGCACCTGCTCGAGGGCTCCGCGGTTT